GGAATAACTTGAGCCTCTGTTATGATTAGCAATTTATTAAAAGTTTCTTTGTAGTTTAAAATTAATTTGAATACTTAACCTACTGCTGTTATGTTTTTCAGGGGTGACTTGGAAATGTCAGGTGTGGTGGACGTGAACTACTACTGACTGGAGATGACTGAACATGTGAAGGTTAATGACAGTAGATATTTTTAAAAAGTATATGAGATCATTAAATTATTGATGATGTTTTTGCTGCAGTAGATTCATAAATAATACATGTTTAAAGGTCCATTTCCTTTACATTTCTTCATGGACTACTAAAGAGTTTTCCTGTTTTGAGTTTAAAAAGAACTGACAGTTGTAGAAAGGTCAGAAAAATGTTCATTCGTGCAGTTTTTACACCAAAAAAAAAAAAACAAACCCTCAAACTTTAAATAAGAACATACTCAATTTTATATAACCATATCAAAAGGTCTCCTTTATTTTGGGGGCAGAATGGGCAACATATTTAATTTAGCAAACAGGAGCGGAAAAGCTCAAAACAATTTTTATAATAAAAGTGTCACATTAAAATTTATATTATAAAAGTTTTATATTATAAAAACTTTATATTGTAAAAAGTTTTCACCCTCAGTAAACCTCCAAATTGAAGCTAGAGTCTATCAATTAAAAAAACGGGAGAAAACCAACAATTACTCTCTGAAGCTTATCAATTTCCTTAACAGATTAGCTCTTCAGAATGTATTATTCCAAAGGCAGTGGTGTACAGTAACTGAGGACAGATATTGGGGAAGACTGGGAAATCAGCTATGGTTAACTGCTACCCAGGCTTGGCCTTCCCTGGATCTGTGATGTCTCAGAAATTACATGCAAAATTCTATTTACATAAGGAAAAGTTTTCATCTGATTTAACTTATTCAAATTCCTGCTACTTCTCCCTATTTCCTTTTAGAACTGGATAAGAGAACAATGGGAGGTAAAGGGAGAAAGAAAGCAAAGCTCTTTTAGTGTTAATCAGCTCTTACCTGCCCAGGGCCGCAGGTTCCTCACTCACCTCCCTTTCTCCTTTCTACTTCACTAAAACAAAGCACTCTAAATTTTTGGTTCAACAATATGGCTGAACAGAAACTAATTCCTAGAATATGAATATAAAATATTATCCAGCAACATCTGGAAAGAATACAGAATCTTTGATTCTTTTGTTTCCTTTGCTTTGTTTTGTTTGATGGTACTGGGGATTGAACCCAGGGACCTTCTACCACTAAACTATGTGGCTGCAGTTTTCTCCTCCTCCTCCTCCTCCTCCTCCTCCTCCTCCTCCTCCTCCTCCTCCTCCTCCTCCTCCTCCTCTTCTCCTTCTCCCCCCCTTCCCCTCCTCATCCTCTTTCCTCTCTTGGATCCTCCTCCTCCTTCTCTTCCTCCTTGTCCTCCTCCTCCACCTTCTTCTTTTAATTTTGAGGCAGGATCTAGCCTTTAACTGGTGATCCTCCTTTCTTGGACTCCTGAGTTGCTGGGTTTATAGGCATGTGCCACCAATTCCAGCTAATTCTTTTATTTCTTGAGTTACTTTTTCTCCAAAAGCATATATTTTCCCCCCTATATATCTTTAACTTTCACTTCTGCAATTTTCAAAAAGAGTTTGAAGCAGAACATAAATTCATAATTTAGTCACAAAACTCTAGCGTTTTTCTGATGATGGGGACATAGTCTAAATGTTTTCTTTGAATGGAGAACTATTTTCTTTATAGGTATTTATATATCCTTCATACAATTTAAAGTACCAGGAGTTACTTAATTATCATTTGTGGTGGTAAGAGAGAGAGTGAATATTATATACAAAATTGTGTAGAAAGAAATTAAATAACTGATATTACTGAATTTAATCACATTTTCTGATGAGAATAAGGCCATGGTAGCTTAAGTAATTTGTCCCATGTCCTCCAGGTGAAAATAAGAACTAGAATCTATATCCAGCTCTGACTGACCCCCCTGACCCCCAAGCCCAGCCATACTCTTCCTCTTGTATTTTTCAATTCTACTGAGGCTTATCTGTGACCTCCATTTAAAAAGTCCTTCCTTGGGCGGGAAGTATAACTCCATGGTAGAGCATCTGCCCTGCATGTGTGAGACCCTGAGTTCCATCCTTTATGCCCACCTCCCCCACCCCACCCCCCTGCAAAAGTCCCTCCTGTGACACCGGTGTTGAGGACCAGGTTCGAGTCCTGTTCCCCTGCTGTTGAAGACTAAACAGCAGAGAAATACCCAGGCAAGTGCAAACAGTTTTATTTAAAGGATAGAACAGAGAGACAAGACAGACAGAGCCACCTCTGCAGAGGCAGAAGAAGGGTCCAAGATGGTGCCCCAGGGAGTGGGATGTCCTGCCCCTTTTATATATTTCAGATTTCCTTTCTTCTCCTGTACCCTCCTCCTCCTCTTATCAGATCTGAAAGTGAGAACAAAGCAGCCCAGGGACACAGGAAGGAAAGGGGTTCAGGAGCAGCCCTGGGGCGTTCATTAACCACTCTTTTCAGGGAGGAACAATTCCCTGGAGGAGGTAACCTTGCCAACAGGTGGGGAGGAGGGGAAGTATCCTGAAGGATTAGCATTTTATTTCCCTGATCCCATCATTCATTGCTGTCTTTTTGCCCCCACCACCACCACTTGCTCCAGGCACTTGATACAGAGGGACAGAGTTAGCTGCCCTAGAAGAAAGCTGGTGCTAAATTTTGGTGTATTCCAAAGGATTCCTCCTGTAGAGTGGTTCTGTAAGCTGACAGGAGATGAGCTACACAGAAGGTCTGTTTGATGTGGGATGAAACAAAGGACATGAACTTGATAGGGAACAAACAGATGAGAATAGTGAGAACAAGAGGTTAAGGGAAGAATTCTTTAAAATGGACCCACTTTACATGGGCCCACACGTGCTTTCTTTTCCAAGAAGCAATTTACCTGCAGCCCTGCCTGGCTTAGGTAGACAGGATATGCCCCATTCCTCAGAAAAGTACCTTCTATCTGCAGGAGAACAGGAGCCCCAAAATAACATGGACAAGAGAAACCAAAGTTACCTAAAGGGGAAAACTTTTGTGACCCTTTTCATAGACCAGATCCCAAAACTCAGATAGATAAGGGTAATTCCTCCTGTCCATAAAAATCTGTAAGAATTTATCAAATCAGTAAGAATCTATAGTTAAGAATCCAATTAGAACTGGTTAGAATGGGCCAAAGTGACCTAAAGTTGTCATGGCAGTGGGTACTTGAAAGTCTGATGTGCTTCTGCTGTCAGTCAAAAGTCAAGAGGTGGACTTGGGCAGGATTCTCTGGAGTCACCAATAAAATTGGAGTGCAGGATAGGCAAACTGTCCCTCTCTTCTCTGAGAGAACCCCCTCTACCTTGAGAGTGTCCCCTTTCCCTTTTCCTATCCCTTCAATAAACTCATTGCCTGTCACTCTGAGTGACATGTCTGAAATCTTTCTGACTTGGTTACCAGAATCAGGGTTTGAAGGTGGTTCTTTGACCTGTCTCATTTTCCCAGAAGGCCCCAGTCCTGTAACAAAAGGATCATTTTCTTGAGATTGCAATGTATGTTTAGTAGAAAATATGAAAAACAAACCGATTAAAATCTGAATCTTGGAAAATAGTCAATTCGAATTGGGATGTGAGATGTATTTTACCTATCATTGTAAAGTGCCGTTCCAAATTTTTCCTCTCTTTTTTTCTTTCCCTTGTACTGGGGACTGAACCCAGGGGCATTCTACCACTGAGCCACCTCCCCAGCCCTTTTTATATTTCCTTTTCAAGACAGGGTCTTGCTAAGTTGCTTAGAGTAACTTCTAAGTTTCTGTGGCTGGACTCGAACTTAGGATCCTCCTGCCTCAGTCTCCCAATTCACTGGGATTATAAGTGGTGATTTTTTCTTTTTATCACTTTAGGTTTTTTGCAAACTTCACATGATACTTTAGCAAAGGAAAAAAATCCATCTTGCTAAAGAGAAGAAATGAGTAACATCTTGGATGACATATCTGAAGCTCTTGGCGCAGTGTGTGGTCTAAGTCTAGAACTAAATTAAGTATCAATTCCTCTTTTGTTCCCTCAAGAGATGTGCAGTCAATAAAATTTTGAGGGAAGTTGTTAGTCTGAGTTCTGTGTATGTATAAAGCCTGCAGTATTTTTAATGATGTGGTAGAATATTTAGTTGGGAAGGCCCTGAGAGATCATCTCTGGTTCTGATTGCTCTTTAACTAACATTTAAATCTGATCTGAAGGCTCAATTCATCAGAATTCTATTGACATGAGACTGAACAACAGGAAAATTTTTAAGAAAACCAATTGATGATCAAGATGTTTAAATAAAATGAAAATATTCAGAGGGCATCCATTACTTTTTTTTTTCTTTTTTCTTTTTGATACTGAGGATTGAACCCAGGGGTGCATTAAAGCTGAATTATATCCCCATTCCTTTTAATTTTTTAAAGTTTTTTTATTTTGAGACAAATCTCACTAAATTCCCGAGATTGGCCTCAAACTTGTGAAATTCCTCTCTCAGCCTCCCAAATCACTGGGATTTCAGGTTTACACCACTGAGCCTGGCTTGTTCCTTTCATTCTCCATCATCTAATCTCTAGACCTGGATGGTAGTGACTATAGTCAGAAAGACAAGGCACTTGAAGCACTGAAATCAGAAAACAAATCTAAGTTGAACTTACTAAGACAGGACTGGGAATTCATATTTTTAGAAAGTGTTCTAACGAGATTAAGCCTTGATTTACCAGAGAACTCAGTGAATCCAAATATGCTCTTTGGGACCTAGTATGCATTTCATCTGTATTTGGAGTCTAGTAAATGTGTATTTATCCCCTAAGGATTGTGGTTAAGATTGCAGAAGTTCTCTAAGCCACTGCAATGTTTTCCATCCTGCCTAGCATTCCCTCACTGCCTTTCTTCACCTTTCTTGCACGAAAAGAGATCTGGGGTGACAGGAAATGTGACTGTTCATCTGACATTGCATGGCGTCTTCTTTATTTGCCCTTCATGTCTGCCACAGCCTCTGATGCTGGAACAGCCGAGTCACATTTTGTGAATGTTTTTATTTCACAGAAGACACACGTGATGGCAGTAGGCTTCTGATGATTTAAAGGTTTGATGGGTGCAGCTGTCTGGTAGCTCTTTGTCTTCCACAATCTTTTGCCTAGAAAAAGGAATTCTAATGTGTTTTAATCATGCTGACCAGCAAGGGTCAGGGATTCCTTCACTTGGGTTTGTGTCTCTGGTTGTGTATATTCATACCTTCCTTTAAAGGTAGGTTTTATTTCTGCTTATCTCCTATAACCTTTTAGTTTCGTGTATTTACTCTTTTTCTTGTTGTGCTTGAATAAGCAGATATGAACGATTCTAGGTAAATATATAAAGTGTCTGTATAGGAAGCAACACTGTTATAACTGCTGATTAATCTGGTATTGATTAGTTCAGTTTAACTTGTCAGAGGAGATTTTTGAGAGGTGGGATGGAGAGCACAATGCTGTAAATCATTTTATTTTATTTTTCTAATTAAAATATAATAAGAACCATACAGTCTTCTATCTTTCTCTGCTGTGGATGTATTCTACTCATGGAATTGTAGGTATATTTAATATGTTTTTCAAAATGGTGATTTATTTGTTAGCTGATAATATTACTCAATCTATGAACCTTTCCATTTTGTAGGTACTTATTTTCATTTTGGAAAATAGGTCACTTGATTATGCTGAAATATTATCCTAAGAGTAAAATTATTCATTTTCAAAGTTAAAACTTAGAACTGCTGCTGAGCTGAGCAAAATCACATTTCCAGGTGCTGTTGGGTTTGCAGGGACTTGCTCTTCAACACTGATGGAGGGTTTACTTAAAATGTGTCAAAGGAGAGAAAATGGGTAACCAGGAGGATTTTTTTTTCATTGTTGTCTTACAAAGAAATGTTTTTATCATTGTTAGTTACTATAGTAAAAGTGACATTTAAAATTTCCCTCTCCTGTTAAAATCTCAGTGTTTCAGGGTTTCCAATACATTTTCCATGCCCCTCTTCTCATGTGGTAATGTAATAATAGTTAGTCAGCTGTCTGTTTTTGCCTGATGAACTTTTCCAACCCTTTCAGTTTTATTTTATTTATTCTTTCAAGGTACAAATCTCTTCAGAAAACTTGTGAAATTTCAGATGTCCAATTTGGATTCTGTAAGGGGAAATGTATTTAAATGGGGTTTTAGTGGAATAAATTATGTCAAGTGATAGCATCGACTTACCTTTAATGCATTAACTTATCTTGGAAAAGTACAGAGACACGTGTCACTATTGTCCTGAATTTAATGACTGAAAATGCTATTAAAAAACCTAATTTTGAATTATTCTTAAAACATTTTAACTAGATTTGCTTTACAAAACTTGCATTCTTAAAATCTCCCAAATTATTGAATTTCAAATTTGGTTTTCAGAAGGAGATGGCTTGTGAAGACCTTAATGAAGTGCCTGTGTCATTGTGCTTGATGGAGTGTCCCCACCTAAACATCTTGTTGGCTGTAGACACAGATGTCAGTATTTTAGATCCCAAAGGGCAGGGCAGGGCTTTCCCTCCCTTGCCAGAAAGCTTCTAGCTCCACTGGTAGGACTACAAGTTCCGTTCAGCAACATAAACAGAAAGGCCAAGCCTCCTGTCTGTCTATCCTTCAGTGTTTGTGGTGCATTGGACTTTAAAAGTGTTCTTCCCAACATTATTTTCTTTGATGTTGCCCTAGGTGTGGGATGTAGGCATAATTAATATTGTCTCCATCCTCAAGGGAAGCAGTGGAGGCTAAAGGGCGAGGTTCCGTGGGCACCGTGCGAGAGTGTGCAGGTGGAGCTGGTGACAGTGATGGGGCGCTGGTTGGTGGGCACAATGCACTCCTGGAGGGACCTGGTGACCGAAACGCCCCTGGCACCTCCCTAGTGCCAGCACTGGCTCTGATTCCCTAACTCTTCCCTCTCTGGCCACGCAGGCTGTGCAGGATGTGCATCCGAGGAGAGACTCTTCCACAAACTGTTTTCTCGTTATAACCGGTTCATCCGGCCCGTGGAAAACGTTTCCGATCCTGTCACCGTGTATTTTGAAGTGGCCATCACACAGCTGGCCAACGTGGTGAGTGTCAGGCATTTGCCACGTGTTCCTCTGGAGGCTCTGACTCCGATGTCAGAGAAGTCCCCACATTGGAGGGGACACTTTCTTCAGTAATGCTCCACTTGTTCACCTTAGATGGTGATTGTCTGGAACTGCTTTTGGGACCAGTTTATGAAACAAAGAAGTGGAGGGAAGTTGAAGGGAGAATTAGAAGAGCTGTACTTACTATGGATTGGGTTGTTGTAAATACAGAACTGAGCTGCATCTAGAGTCTGGGTGGCCCACTCACTGGACAGCATTGCTTCAAATCCCTGGTTAATGAGTCCTTTCAGGTCATCGTTCTGAAGATGGTGAGAGGTAACACTGAAAGCAGAGCTTGGCTACTAGTATCAAAGTTTTTTGTTGTTTTTTAGGCGCTGCTTAAATACAAGATGATTTTTTTCCCTTATGTAATGGAAATCTGAAATTTTGCAGTCTAGGAGTTTAGCACGAGGTGGCTTCATGATGTGAGCAATTGTGTGTTCAGTTGCCCAGGTTATGCACTGCACAACTCCAGAGGATGTCACTTACATGGGCTATGATGATAAGAGCATAAGCCAACTATGGCAACAGTGACCAAGGTTCCTTCTATCTTTTTACTTCACTATCCTTTGCATGTGACTTCTTCCATTAGTGTTGCTTCATGTTCCAAGATAACTGCTGTCTTTCCTCTTATCACATTCATATTTTGGGCAAGAAGCAGGAGGAAGGGAGAAAAGGGTTAAAGGGGCACATACCAGACATTTGTGACCTCTTCAGGGAGCTTTCTTAGAAGTCCTCCCAACAACTTCTTCTTTCTGTCTTCATCCCCTCTTGTTGCCAGAGAAAGTTGGGAAAGTAGCTTTTTTAAACTGAAATTTTACTGTTTGAAATAATTTGATTAAACCCAGTTATAAGAAATAATAGAGAAATTCCTTATATGTTTTGCCCAGTTTCATCGACTATCTCTCCTCCATTTCTAAAGTAGTGTCATTACAAGAACATTACATAGGGCTGATGCTGTGGCTCAGTGGTGGAGTGCTCCTCTACCATGCATGAGGTGCTGGGTTCGATTCTTAGCAACCCATAGAAGTAAAATAAAGATATTGTGTCCATCTAAAAACTGAAAAATAAATATTAAAGAAAACATTACATATACATAGAATATGATGACTTGCAGCCTTGGCTCTTTTGCTTAGTGTTATCTAAATGTTGAGTGTATCAACGGTGTGTGTTCCTTCTCGTCACTGAGTAGTGTCCCATGGTTCTGATGTACCACAGTTCATTTAATCATTTGCTTGTTGAAGAACATTTGGGCTCATTCTAGTTTTTTTGGTTTATTATGAATAAAGCTGCTATGAACATTTGTTAAAGGTTTTTGCATAAACATAAATCTTCATATCTCTAGGATTAATACCCAGGGGCACTGCATGGCTGCGTCACATGGCAGTTATCAGGTGAGCTGTGGGGATGGCTCTGTGATATTCTAACTGCCAGGATACTTTGTCCCAATTACGTTCACACCCCCTGCTGCTGTCTGAGCCCCCAGCTGGACCCTAAAGATCCAGAGAGCTCTATGTGGAAGTATGTTTGTTGCCATGCAACCTGACCTTGGTCACAGTCTTCTATCTTTCAGGGCAGGAGAACGTCTACTCCTGCCTCACAGAGATGCCTAGCCAGTGTTCCTAATGGCTTGGCAGACCTGAAATGGCAAACTTGGTAAAATTAGTAGCCTGCTTGGCCTTGTGGATCCATGTCTCTGAGTCTATTGCTGTGGATCCAGTATATTGGAAATTGTGACTCAAAACTTGCAATACAGCTGGAGCGTCACCTAATTCAATTTCCTCAGAAAGAAATGGAAGATGGTCCCAAGGATGTGAGGTGGTATCGTGGGTCTCTGGCCTCCTCCAGGGGGGCTGTCTGATTACAGGGCACATGTTCATTGGTGTGGCCTGGAACTGGATGGACACCTTGGCTTTCTAGACGAGCTCCTGATCCAAATCGGTTGACACCTCTGAGGGTGTCCTTACCTCCACACACCAGCTCCATACTGAGGAAGTGTAGCAGGGGAGAAAGGGCTACTGCTAGAAGGGTATTATCAACTGATTTTAGCTCCCAGGACACAGTGTAGAACACTAGTTCAGAGAGGAAGCAGGCTTTGAAAGATGGTTGAAGTTTATTCCAGTTACCTCTAAGAACTTCCTGAAACTGAGACTGCAGAACTTGTCTTTTCTTGACTGACATCTCATGGATTTATTGACATGACTCCTGCTAACCTATGCAGATTGCAAAGTGACCCCTGTATGATCAGAATGCATTGACTTTAGGCTTGGGTAACTGTAAAACAATGCTGGCCACCGCCTGCTAGTTCTATGTTTTCTGGGATCAATAGGAAACCATGAATGTAACTGTTTTTGCTGATCTTTTTAAACCTTTGGACTTATCATGTCTTGACAACCCATTTGAAGGAGGAAGCTTGCCTCTCTAGGAAAGGCAGTAGAGAGCATGAAATGAAAGAGTAGAAAACTGCAGAGTGGCCCGGGGAACCAGGGCAGAATGGTGTCTGAGCCTCAGCACAGCGCCCTGAGCCTCAATGGAGTTCATTTAGTCTAGAGGGTTCTTGGGTGCCTTGGGAAGCTGGGTTGGCTGAGCAAGTCTTGGGAATCAACTGCTGGCCACTGTCGACAGCCCTTGGACTATTGTGATGTAAAACTACCCAAGGTTCTAGATGAATCTTTGGTAACTTTCACACTGAGAGTTGGTAGCCACTTAGGAACTTATTATACTGGGGATATTGGCCTGGAATGCTTTTCCTCCAAATAGCCTCATTTAAGAATCTGCTTAGACATTACTTCCTCAGAGAAGGCTTCTTTGGCCATCTTGTATAAAATAGATGTATGTGTGTTTTATGTGTGTGTGTACCTGCACATGGACTACTCTATGAGAGTTATCTATTCATAGGACTTATCTTTATGTCATATTATATTGTGTGTGTGTAAATTTTATATTTCCCCAACTACCAGCTAAGACACATGAAGATAGGACATTTTCCCATGTTACTTCTCTATTCCCAGTATTTACATAGCACATAATAGTTACTCAATAAAAATTTGTTTCATGAGTGATTGAAGGGGTGGCTTGGGTAGGGAAAGGGAATATGTAGTGGGTGGGTAGCAGATTCCAGCTGGGAAACTCCATGAGGCTGATGTTTTTGGTAGATGCTGAGGGGAAAGCAAGGACCTGGGTTTGGGTATCTGTATCCTCTGCAATACTTTCTCTCCCTCTTTTCCAAGACTCTCTCTCCTCTTCTTTTTTTCCTTTAATGGAGTCAGAAAACTTTATGGGTTATGGTGAGCACAAAGACTTCAGAGAGGAGGTGAGACCTAAATCAGCTTAGACCGATTAAAGCCACATTTCCTTTAAAGTCCACAGCATCGGGGCCAGATGTGGAAATATTGCATTTCTGGCTGCATGCTAAATAAATTTTGTTGTTGTTGTTTGTTTTTGATATTTATTTTTTTAGTTGTAATTGGACACAATACCTTTATTTTATTTATTTTTATGTGGTGCTGAGGATCGAACCCAGGGCCTTGCACGTGCTAGGCAAGCACTCTACTGCTAAGCCACAATCCCAGCCCAATAAATGCTTTTTTAAATATTGCTTTTTCAGTCTTCTTGCTTTCCTTCATTAGCAAGAGTCACTCAGATTCATCTCTCTTTAGTTGTGATTCTTGCTATAAGATCTACCTCTATTAGCAAGTACATGTGAAGCTAAAAATATGATTTCTTTTTCCCAGGATGAAGTAAACCAGATCATGGAAACCAATTTGTGGCTACGTCACGTATGTCTCTCTCTCTTTGAACTGTGGTCCTCACATGTCCACTCAATATCAGATGGATAGAACCCACTGGCATGACCTTTTTCCATGCCCATCTTGTGATAGACATACCTTACAGCTGACTTGATGTAGGTTTTACAGGTGAAGAAACCTAGTGACAAATGTCTCTCCGACATAGAGACTTTCTGTTTTCTGCTTTCTAATCTCCTATTTTTAACTTGGGCTTCAGATTCTGATGCTTGCTCACTCCTTGATCTCTGCTGCCCCAGGCCTGGAGAGGTCAGTAGCCGAGATTCCCACCAGCTGACTCTATCAGTTATATTGTCTCCTCACTTAAAAAAACTTGATAACTTTACACAGATTTGGAAACAAACTCATCATCACACACAGTTTTAATATTAGAAATGGGTTACTACTACAGTTTGACTATAGTTCATGGGACATGGAAGTCAAGCCTATAACCTCAACCAGCTAACTAACAATTAATAGAAAATTATCTAGTTAAATATTGCCCCCCAAAACAACTCAACTATTTAGCCCCCTATTCCCCATGTATATAATTTACCGGCTTTTGCTAGAAACCCTGCAGTCTTCAAATAAGAATTTATTTATTTTTTTTAAAATCTGTTGATCCAACATAAGGAAGATAGTTATTTAAAAATTTTAAAATTATTCTTATTCATTTCAGATCTGGAATGATTATAAGTTGCGCTGGGATCCAATGGAATATGATGGCATTGAGACTATTCGTGTTCCGGCAGATAAGATTTGGAAGCCTGACATTGTTCTCTATAACAAGTATGGGTGTCTGACAGTCACGGTCTCTTTCCCAAGTTACTTTTGGAGTAATCCACAGGGAGTCGTATTGATGTGTTTGATTTATTTTACAGTGCTGTTGGTGATTTCCAAATCGAAGGCAAGACAAAAGCCCTTCTTAAATACGACGGCATGATCACCTGGACCCCACCAGCTATTTTTAAGAGTTCCTGTCCTATGGATATCACCTTCTTCCCTTTTGATCATCAAAATTGTTCCCTGAAGTTTGGTTCCTGGACATACGATAAAGCTGAAATTGATCTTCTAATCATTGGCTCTAAAGTAGACATGAATGACTTTTGGGAAAACAGTGAATGGGAAATTGTTGATGCCTCTGGCTACAAGCATGACATAAAATACAACTGTTGTGAAGAGATATACACAGACATAACCTATTCCTTCTACATTCGGAGATTGCCAATGTTTTACACCATTAATCTGATCATCCCCTGTCTCTTTATTTCATTTCTGACTGTGTTGGTCTTTTACCTTCCTTCAGACTGTGGTGAAAAAGTGACACTTTGCATCTCAGTTCTGCTTTCCCTGACTGTGTTTTTGCTGGTCATTACAGAAACCATCCCGTCCACCTCTCTTGTGATCCCACTGGTGGGTGAGTATCTGCTGTTCACCATGATCTTTGTCACACTATCCATTGTGGTGACCGTGTTTGTGTTAAACATACACTATCGCACCCCTACAACACACACCATGCCCAAATGGGTGAAGACAATTTTCCTCCAGCTGTTCCCACAGATCTTGATGATGAGGCGGCCTCTGGACAAGATGAAGGAAAAAAATTCCAAGCAAAATCCTGAAGTTCTTTCAGGTAAGCCTGTCAAGGTCAGGTTTGCTAATCGCAGAGAACCTAAACTTCTGAAGGAATGCTGCCACTGTCATAAGTCAAGTGGGGCAGCTACCAGCAAGAGAAGATTAAGTCATCAGCCTTCACAATGGGCAACAGAGAATTTGGAGCACTCTCCTGAAGTTGAAGATGTGATTGATAGTGTTCAATTCATAGCAGAAAATATGAAGAGCCACAATGAAACAAAGGAGGTAAATACACATCTCCTCTCATTTAAAGACTTAGATCCTCAGTGTGAGTTGTGTTTGTAAGAGAGTCGGGCAGCTTTGTTATTATGCAGTTACTGATGGACTGACCTAGGGGTCAGAGCAAATCTCCACCAACTGAGGTAAACCTCAAATCTCAATCTGGTTAAAATGCATGTTCAGGGCAACCTTGGTTAATTAAACCAAGAACCCTTTCACAGAAATGTTGACAAATTGAAGGGTGGAAAGGGAAAAGCTGCCCTGGAGGGGAAGAATTGACCGCAGAGCTTTGCAGCCTCCAAGTAGTGGGAGAAGGTGTATGAGCTCCAGTGTTCAGCAACTCCAGTCCTGCTTGTTCTACTTGAGATGGATTGAATGAGCTTTGGGGATATTTTTAGTATCCACATATTCTGCTTCTGGTGCCCAGAGTCTAACTATAGAAGCACACAGCCTTCCCTCATTCTCCAAGGAGAGAGATCAAGGAAATCATGCCAGTTTTCCGCTTCATAAGGATGATGAGCTAAGGGCAGCTGAAATCTTGTGCAGGCGCCTGGGTTTATTTTACATGACAGATGCTGGCATCCATATCTCTTAATGAAAGGATATTGTGAGAGCTAATGTGCACCCCGTGGGTGAGGGGGCAGATACTAGGAATGCCTGCTATCTAGGGTAAAAAGTCTGGAAAAACTCACCTTTGGGGTGGCACTTTGTAAAGTCTAGGAGACAGAGTTCCTATTGACTTAATTGCCATCAGGAAGGGCTCTCAAGACACAGCTGCAGAGACTTTACAGTTTGAAAAGCTGTTCTTCCTGCTCAGAGGGTCCTCAACAGTACCTCATGGCTTCCATTCCCCCCCAACTGCATGCTTCACATCCACTCCCCAGGCTTACCATGGGGTCAGTGGTGCCAATGACAAGAGTTGAGCTATCTAACAGCTGCTTCTTGGGAGTGTTCCCTGTAGTCGGGAAAAATCTTTTGTGACCTAGGTGTTCCTGACCCACCAGGTCTTCTGCATGCTCTATAGCCAGCTCCACGAGGTACCCATGGAGACACATCCACCCTCTTCAGACAAAACAAAATTTCTTTCATTTTTTGGGGGATGAGGGGTGGTAACCAGGGATTGAACTCAGGGGCACTAGACCACTGAGCCACAACCCCAGCCCTCAAAACAAAATTTCTTATAGGTACTACTTAGAAGGCATGGGTTAACCAAAATGCCACCAACATTTGTTTTTAAAAGTACTGGGGAAATCTTTGAAAAAGAAAACGTTATGGAGCCGGGCGTGATGGCATACGCCTATAATCCCAGCAGCTTGGGAGGCTGAAGCAGGAGGATCATGAGTTCAAAGCCAGCCTCAGCAATGACGAGGTGCTATTGGTGAGACCCTATATCTAAATAAAAAAATACATAATGGGGCTGATGAACTGGCTCAGTGGCTGAGTGCCTCTGAGCTAGTTCAATCCCCAGTACCTAAAAAAAAAAAACTTATGAAACAGAACATGCTTCCTTATGGTTTTTATTTTTAAAAATAGCTTTGACTTTTTGTTTGTATTTCAGGTAGAAGATGACTGGAAATATGTGGCCATGGTGGTAGACAGAATATTTCTTTGGATATTTATAATTGTCTGTGTGTTTGGAACCACGGGGCTATTTCTACAGCCGCTATTTGTGAACACAGAAAAATTTTAACATGTCTTTTCTCTTAGAAACTCACAGACTCTATATTTGTTCTGTATTCCTTACCACAGGAAAGGCCAAGTTCCCCATCTATTGAAACTGAAGACTACCTGGAAAAAAGAGGAATATATTGCAAATTTAGGAGTTGAAATGTAGCACAGGGGAGTACATTAAGATGTTTTATTACACACTAAAGCTCACAACTGGCAGCACCCATAAACTAACAGTGTCAGGTCAGCTTCTCTTTTATTTTTTTTTATTATTGGTTGTTCAAAACATTACAGAGCTCTTGACATATCATATTTCATACATTAGATTCAAGTGGGTTATGAACTCCCATTTTTACCCCAAATACAGATTGCAGAATCACATCGGTTACACATCCACATTTTTACATAATGCCATATTAGTGACTGTTGTATTCTGCTACATTTCCTATCCTCAACTATCCCCCCTCCCCTCCCCTCCCATCTTCTCTCTCTACCCCATCTACTGTAATTCATTTCTCTCCTTGTTTATTTTCCCATTCCCCTCACAACCTCTTATATGTAATTTTGTATAACAATGAGGGTCTCCTTCCATTTCCATGCAATTTCCCTTTTCTCTCCCTTTCCCTCCCACCTCATGTCTCTGTTTAATGTTAATCTTTTCCTCCTGCTCTTCCTCCCTGCTCTGTTCTTAGTTGCTCTCATTATATCAGAGAAGACATTTGGCATTTGTTTTTTAGGGATTGGCTAGCTTCACTTAGCATAATATGCTCTAGTGCCATCCATTTCCCTGCAAATTCCATGATTTTGTCATTTTTAAGTGCTGCGTAATACTCCATGGTGTATAAATGCCACATTTTTTAATCCATTCATCTATTGAAGGGCATCTGGGTTGGTTCCACAGTCTAGCAATTGTGAATTGTGCTGCTATGAACATCAATGTGGCAGTATCTCTGTAGTACGCTCTTTTAAGGTCTTCAGGGAATAGTCCGAGAAGGGCAATAGCTGGGTCAAATGGTGGTTCCATTCCCAGTTTTCCCAGGAATCTCCATACTGCTTTCCAAATTGGCCACACCAATTTGCAGTCCCACCAGCAATGTACAAGAGTACCCTTTTCCCCACATCCTCGCCAGAACTTGTTGTTGTTTGACTTCAGAATGGCTGCCAATCTTACTGGCTGTCAATCTTATTTATTTTTTCAAAGAACCAACTTTTAGTTTTGTTAATTTTTTCAATAGTTTCTTTTGTTTCAATTTTGTTGATTTCCGCTCTGATTTTAATTATTTCTTGCCTTCTGCTACATTTGCTGTTGTTTTGCTCTTCCTTTTCTAGGGCTTGGAGATGAAGTGTGAGCTCATTTATTTGTTGTTTTTTTCTTTTTTTGAGGAATGACCTCCAGGCAATGAATTTCCCTCTTAAAACTGCTTTCATTGTGTCCCATAGATTCCGATATGTTGTGTCTGTATTTTCATTTATCTCTAAGAATTTTTTGATTTCCTCCTTTATGTCTTCTGTAACCCATTGATCATTCAGTAACATATTGTTTATTTTCCATGTGATATAGGATTTTTCCTTCCTTCTTTTATCATTGATTTCCAGTTTCATTCCATTATGATCAGATAAAATGCATGGTATTGTCTCCACCCCTTTATATTTACTGAGGGTTGCCCTATGGCATAATATATGGTCTATTTTTGAGAAGGATCCATGTGCTACTGAGAAAAAAGTATATCCACTTGATGATGGTTGATATATTCTATATATGTCTGTTAAGTCTAGGTTATTGATTGTGATATTGAGTTCTATAATTTCTTTATTCAACTTTTGTTTTGAGGATCTGTCCAATGGTGAGAGAGGTGTGTTGAAGTCACCCATAATTATTGTGTTGTGGTCTATTTGATTCTTGAACTTGAGGAGAATTTGTTTTATGAATGTCGCAGCACCATTATTTGGTGCATAAATATTGATAATTGTTATGTCTTGTTGGTGAATGGTTCCTTTTAACAGTATATAATGTCCTTCCTTATCCCTTTTGATTAACTTAGTCTTGAAGTCGATTTTATTCGATATGAGGATGGCCACCCCTGCTTGCTTACGAGGACTGTGTGCGTGGTATATTTTTTCCCAACCTTTCACCTTCAGTCTGTGTATGTCTTTTCCAATCAGATGTGTCTCCTGGAGGCAGCATATTGTTGGATTTGTTTTTTTAATCCATGTTACCAGCCTATGTCGCTTTATTGGAGAGTTTAAGCCATTAACGTTTAGAGTTACTATTGATATATGGTTTGTACTTCCAGCCATGTTTGATTATTTATCTTTTTTTTTTATTTAGTTTGTTTCTCCATGATTAGCTTTCCCCCTGCCCTCTGTCTTTACTGAGGCACTTCCCACTGATGGTTTTGGATATTGTTTTTTATTTCTTCCTCATGTAGTGTTTTGCTCAAGATGCTTTGCAATGCTGGTTTTCTGGCTGTAAATTCTTTTAACTTTTGTTTATCATGAAAGATTTTTATTTCGTTGTCGTACCTGAAGCTTAATTTTGCTGGATACAGAATTCTTGGTTGGCATCCATTGTCTTTCAGTGTTTGAAATACGTTGTTCCAGAATCTTCTCGCTTTCAGCGTCTGTGATGAAAAATCCGTTGTTAACCTTATTGGTTTACCCCTGGATATAATCTGCCTCCTTTCTCTTGTAGCTTTTAATATTTTCTCTTTGTTCTGTATATTGGATATCTTCATAACAATGTGTCTTGGCGTTGGTCTACTGTGATTTTGTATGCTCGGTGTCCTGTATGCATCTACAATTTGTATATCCGTTTCCTTTTTTATTTCTGGAAAGTTTTCTGTAATTATTTCATTCAGCAGGTTACTCATTCCCTTGGTTTGAATCTCTATACCTTCCTCTATCCCGATGACTCTTAAGTTTGGTTTTTTTATGTTATCCCATATCTCTTGGATGTTTTTCTCGTGATTTTTTACCAACCTTTCTGAGTTGGCTAGACTCTTTTCAAGATGATATATTTTGTCTTCATTATCTGATGTTCTGGCTTCTACTTGCTCCACTCTGTTAGTGATACTCTCATTTGAGTTTTTAATTTGGTTTATAGTTTCCTTCATTTCTAGAATTATTGTTTGATTTTTTTTATAATCTCTATCTCCTGGATAAAGATGCTTAACTTCTTCTTTTATCTGTTTATGTAATTCAATTTCAATGTGTTCTTTCACTCTTTGAATTTGCTGTCTCATATCCTCTTTAAGGTTCCATTCCATCTGTCTAAGGTATTCCTTGAGTTCTTTATATGACCATTTTTCTGATGACTCTAGGTCCTCCTGAATATTTAGGCTGTCCTGCATTGTTTGTACTCCTTTTCTTCCTTGCTTTTTCATGCTGCTCATGTTACTTCTTGTTCTGTTTGACTTCTGAGTTACTGGTTACTCCTATAAATTTATTTGATGCTTGGGAGGAAAGGTATTAGAAGGGAAGGGAAGAAGTCACTAAAGAAAATGAGAGTAAGCAGGTAGAATTCAAGGAAGGGGGAATAAGAAAATTGAAAAGAAATGAAAAGACAAAAGAAAAAAAATAGAAAAGAAAAAAAAATAAAAAATAATAATAAAAAAAATAAAAATTTAAATTAAAAAAAAAGAAATTTTAAAAACAACAAAAAAAATGAAAATCAAAAAAAAAAAAACCCAAATTAAAAAAATAATAATAAATGCAGTCTTAGAGTTTGATTAACTTCTCTTCCAGTAGGTGGAGCTGTTCCCATCGGGCCAAGCTTCTCCTCTCCATACGCGGGAACCAATCACTGTGCAGCAGCTCCTCCTCCCAGACTGGGCGGGTCTCCAATCCTGAGTGCCTAGGGCCTTCTCTTGTGTCTAGTCACTTCCCCACTTTTCCTCAAGCCAGGCCCCGCTCACTGGTGATGCTCACCACAATACTGGCTACACGCCAGGTCTGCTGCTCCCGGGAGCCCTGATTTCATGAACGACTGGGCACACTCTCCCTGTTGCCATTCCCTTAGACCCTAAGTTTGTAGAGCTTGGGGCTGAGAACGCTCAGCGAAATTTGCTTGCCCTCCAGTAACCACGCCCCTGGTAGCTGGTGCAAGAGACCTCAGTTGTCAGCACTGGTGGGAGCGGTAGCCGGGAGTTCCCAGCCACGGGTCCCGCGCCACTCCTGATTCCTTCGGTCTGGCTATTGGCTATTGCGCTCACAGGAGAGCTGGGAGGGGCCCTTAAGGTTTCCCTGCTGTGTGGAGAGGGAAGGCTAGGGGGTTACACACCTGTTGCCGCCAGTTTCAATGGAGTTATCTCCTCCGCCACATTCTGGTGACGTCAGTTCTCTGCCATGGTGGTATCCCATGCAAATGGCGACAGTTCGTTTCCCTTTGCTGGGTGACCAATGCGACGGGTGGGTCCTGACTGGCTCTCCCAAGCCCCGTTTCAATCCTGTGGCCACTGCCTATGAAGGCTCGGTTGGCATTTACCTCCATAGGTGCAGAAGGGCCGACCAGTTGTTTCAGCGGGATCATTTAGTGCTGAGTCACAGCAGTTTGTTTGTGAGAAGCAGGCGAACGGGAGCTTGAATTCAGCCGATCCGGGCTCGGTGTGTGTTCTGAGAGGCCCAAACTTTTCACCCCAGATCCACGTCAGCTCAGCATTGCCTAGTGATCCTGAGCAAACAGCATTTAGACGGTTTACGACTCCCTATGCCCGCGCAGCTGAAGAGGTCAGAGACTTGATCTCTCTGCACCCGCCGCCATGTTGGATCTCAGCTTCTCTTTTCTATACACATTGGTTTTCCAGGGACATGAATGACATGTGGTCAAACCATGTAGTAAACATAAAGCCACACTGAAAAGAGATTCTGTTGTATCTCCACAGTTTATGCTGTTAATTAGTGTAATGACACATGAGATGTGAAATACTGATCCTTTGACCTTGTTGACATTTGCAACACTTGTGAACTCTCACATCCTTGCTTTCTTGTGCATGTCCATGTAATATAGTTCACACGCTTCAGCATTATTTGACACACAAATTGGTTAAAGGCAATAGATAAGAGTTTATCTTAGCAGACTCTGTTTAATT